TAAAACAATACAGTTCTTGGTTTAGTATGGGCTTACGGTGGCACTTGACAATGAGAAGGGTGGACCGTCTTGCTGGACCAAAATGTTCCCCGACTGTGGCGCGACGGGTTGCGGTTGGTTTGCTCATGGAATTCCAAGAGTCTCCATCAAAATAAGTTGGACAAATGCATTGAATCGACTTTTCTGTGGTGGAATCGGTGCTCCTTTGCTCAGCGGGCGCTGCTCCACTCAGGCCATCCTCCACCGCGGAACTGCTTCGACCGCGGCCAGCCACTGAGCTGGTTCAGCCGCTGCCTTGGAGGGAGCCATTTGAGAGAGAGAGAGAGAGAGCGCTCTGACCTGATAAGAGATGGGCAAACAGGAAACCATTCTCACGCGGAGAGTTGCGAGTTGCAGTTTTCGAGCCTGCTTTCTGCAACTTGAGCGATCATTGATTTGTGTGACAAGAAGTTTTGTTGTTCAAATTCTTCCGCATGGGATCCAATTTATCTACAGTGCATTCGTGAGTGTCGTAGGTCGGTGTAGGCCAACTGTTCCATTTTTGTAGCCACTGGCCCGAGCGCAGAGTGCTGCCGCCGAGCCTTCCGGAGTTCTTTCAACTCCTTGGGGCGGATTGAGAAGCACCTCGATGATGGGCCCTGATGGCACAGCGAAGGCGGGGACGCCGTGGCAGCCAACTTCTCCTCGGCCTGGTCGGCATCTTGGGCGCGATGCGGCTGATGGCTGAGAGGATGGAGGTCGGCTTCGCGGGTTGGAGGATGGATCGGATGGGTCCTCATCCGCCACAGAGGGTGACAAGGACTGAAGCTTCGGAAACTGGACACTATTCGAATTAGAGTTGGCCGTTTAAAAACTAGAACTTCCAACTTCCCGAACTTGTACAACTGGTTTGTGTTTTATCCTAATGTCATAGGGAATAGTGTTTCGATTGTCGGTTCGATCTCGAGTTACAAGTTGAGCCGTCAGAGGACGGGCAGTTGGCGGGTGCCACACGCTTTAGCGGCAAAGATTGTTGAAGTGAGAGCCTCGCAAGCACTTGGTGAAGTAGGGCTCCACGTGGGAGGTTAGACACTCTACTCGCGCTCCTGTCATCTCCTGTCAGTTATGTTGCGCTCCTCGATTCAAACCCAACTCATTCTTCCATCAGCACCTCGTCTTGAAGACAATGCTTTCCCAGCACGGAGCATCCTCGTTGTTTTGTGTCGCACCGCACTTGATGGCCCAGGACTAATCATAGCCAAATATATAACAGTTTGAACATCCTTTTGCTCGTTTGTCTCAAGTGAATGGTTGCGTACGGCGTAAGTTGATTCAGACCTACTTGATCTAATTCCCTCGGCACTTTAGCACCACTTCCTTCCTTTGTGTCCCACCTAAAGCAATATGGACAACCCACTTAGCAGCTTCCCCAAAACCAACACGGCAACCCACAAGCCATGGGCTCACTGTATGTATGCGTATTTATGCCTTTTTTTGATCACCAAGTCGTCGCAATGCCAATGTTGGCACCACAGTTGGCATTGGACGACTCGCTCCTGGATTCCCCTCAATGGCTTTGTCTGGAGGCCCGGAAGACCGCGACGTCGCCTTCATGGAGCGTTTGCGCTGCCTGGCGCAAGAGGCGCTCAGCTGGGCTTGGCTCACTCCGCGCCAACGGCTGGTGTGGGCCGCGGCCATCGAGCTGGATGCGGTGCCTTTGCAGGAGCGTTGGGGCACCGGTGAGAGGGGTTGGCCTTGCAAGACCAAAAGGATTCTTGCAGCTTGAAGATTTCAAGAGATGATGATGATGATGATGATGATGATGATGATGATGATGATGATGATGATGATGTATAAGGATCGTTAGGGTTATATAAGTCTACAAAATCTCCTTTTGCATTCTGCCTTTAGCAGTGAAGGCGGTTTGGTTGGAAGCGTCTTCTGGTTCGGCGCCTGGCAAGGAGCTTCCACCGTGGTTTTGGGAGCGACAAAACATGACTCTCAGGCATCCAGGCAGGGATGCTGAAGTCAACTGCCCTGTTCAAATCCGACGGGCACTCCGTCGAATTCTCCTAGTCTGAAAGGTAGCTCAAACCTTCTTCTACATGAGTTGTTTTCTGCTTTAACTATATCTATAGTAATTAATTACCATTGTTAGCAATCCATAGTTGTTTTCGTTGCCACGGTCGCTATAATTATCCGGATCCTCTACGCCATAGTGTTATCCGCCTGGCAGCTGCTTCGCTCGTTCCATTTTTAGCCATCCTCACTGCCGCCGCAGGCGTCGACCTGCTGAGCCTGGACGGCCGCCGCGCCGTGCGGTGCATCGATGACATCGACATCGTTGAGGACGCGGAGCGCTTCGTCC